TCCAGCCTGGGCAATTGAATGAGACCCTGCCCCTGAAAAAAAATAAAAAGAAAGAAAAAAAAATACTTCAATCGTGTACTCAGTACAGTCTCAGCCTGGTGTGGTGACCTACAGCATGGGAAGGAGGAACTATCTGCTCTTCTTCCATCTCCTTCACATGCCTCCCTCTCACTCTGCTGTGTCTGGGCTCTCCAGGGTCCAGTCAGGGAGCAGGGGGATTAAGGGAAGAAGGGCAAATATATCTTTGTGGCAGATGCTCTTGTAATACAGTATGCCATGGCCTTGGGGTAGGAGGAGCCCACATGCTGGCTCTCTCCAGTGGGAAGAATTTGTGGGACTTTTGAAGGCTCTCTGTGGGGACCACCTGGCTGAAAAACTCCCTTCAAAGCCAGTACACTCTCCCACTTCTCCCAGAAATTTCTTTTTTTTTTTTTCTTTTCGAGACAGAGTCTCTTTTTGTTGACCAGGCTGGAGTGCAGTGGTGCATCTCAGCTCACTGCAACCTCCTCCTCCCAGGTTCAAGAGGTTCTCCTGCCTCAGCCTCCCGAGTAGCTGGGATTACAGACATGCACCATCACACCCAGCTAACTTTTGTAGTTTTAGTAGAGATGGGGTTTCGTCATGTTGGCCAGGCTGGTCTCAAACTCCTGACCTCAAGTGATCCACCCATCTTGGCCTCCCAAAGTGCTAGATTACAGGCATGAGTCACCATGCCCTGCCTTCTCCCAGAAGTTTCTTGCAAATTTCTCAGCTCCTGCTCAGAGGTACAGCATGTAACAGCTCATTGCTGGGGTCTCTTCACCCCATAGGCAACACTTCTGATTCAAAGCCAGCTGTTTTCCATTGTAGCTCCTCAGAAACGCATGCCCTCACCATTACAAATTCTGGCAGTGTAAACAGGTTCCACTACAACCTGTTCAGGATTCCCTGAATACCCCACAAATCCCCCACAAATCCCCAACTCACCAGGCAGGAAGCAAACCCTAGTTTCCATTCATTTATGTCCCTAACTGCCGGAAGACACATACCCACTCCATAATCTCTCCTCCTCCACTCGAATCCCAGGACACCACAGGAGCCCTGAACTCTCTCAAGAGTTTCCCCAGAGGAAGAGAACAGGAAATGCCATGACACTATCCCTATCCCAAAGCCACTTTCTAATCCCCTTCCTCCTTTTCAGCTGGAGGATATGACTGAGGTTGATAATCACCATACTAGTTTTGCTGCCGTTTCATAATTTCTACATGGATATGTCTGTGCTAATATCCTATTCAGAAATCTGGGGATAATTATCACCTTTTGCTTTCAACGTTGGGGATTCAGATAAAATTTCAAGACACCATGAAAAGTCCCATTGGATATTCTGTTACACTTAAAACACACCACGACACTTTCCATATGAGCTCTCAGCCCTCGTCAGGGCTGTCTGCAGATGACACAATGGGAAACAGAGAAGCTGTGACTATTGGCAGAGTACTGCGTCTGAGCTGCTGAGATAAGACTTTTGGAAAGATTCAAACCACAGGCTTTTGCAATAGTTACACAATCACTTCCACCCCACCCTCAAGCTGAATGCCTTCCAGAAAGCTGAACATTCTTTAGGAGGTGATTATATAACTAAAACAGAAAAGGTTGTAACTGATGTGTGGGAATATCATTTAAGGGTTTGAAAATATATCAAATGAGAATGAAACACTTAATTAGGACAGGATAGCTTCTTACAGTTAAAGGTCATCCTGTAGAGAGGGGATTTAAATCATTCTGAATTACCCAAGGACTACCTTATGGAAACTACAGGGAAGCCAGTTTGGGATTCAAAAATATGCATTCATTCATTCACTCATTCATTCACTGAGTTCCTGTGAGGCTTCAGGCTCTGAGCTGGCGTTGATGTTGACGCAATGGTTAAGATTTGTTCCCTGCCCTCAAAAGAACTCAGAGAAAATCTCCATAACAGAATAAGGTGCCACCAGAGAATAAATCATTATTTGAAAAAGATACTTGCACATGCATGTTTATAGCAGCACAATTTACAATTGCAAAATCGTGGAACCACCCCAAATGCCCATCAATCAATGAGTGTATAAAGAAACTGTGGTATATACATATGATGGAATACTATGCAGCCATAAAAAGGAATGAGTTAACAGCATTTGCAGTGACCTGGATGAGACTGGAGACTATTACTCTAAGTAAAGTAACTTGGGAATGGAAAAGCAAGCATCATATGTTCTCACCGATATGTGGGAGCTAAGCTATGAGGACGCAGAGGCATAAGAATGATACAGTGGACTTTGATGACTTGTTGAAAGACTGAGAGAGGGGTGAAGGATAAAAGACTACCAGTATGGTGCAGTGTATACTGCTTGGGTGATGGGTGCACCAAAATCACACAAATCACCACTAAAGAACTTACTCATGGCTGGGTGCAGTGGTTCACACCTGTAATCCCAGCACTTTGGGAGGCCAAGGTGGGCAGATCACCTGAGGTCAAGAGTTGGAGACCAGCCTGGCCAACATGGTAAAACCCTGTCTCTACTAAAAATACAAAAATTAGCCAGGTGTGGTGGTGGGTGTCTGTAATCCCAGCTACTCAGGAGGCCAAGGCAGGAGAATCACTTGAACCCGGGAGGCAGAGATTGCAGTGAGGTGAGACCACATCATTACATTCTGTCCTGGGCAATAAGAATGAAATTCCATCTCAAAAAATATTAAAAAAGAGAATTTATTCATGTAAGCAAATACCGCCTGTATTCCAATAAATGGAAAATTTTTGAAAATTAAAAAAGAAAAAGAAAAAAAATTTTTAATCATTAAAAAAAAATTAATTTATATATGTTTTTAAAAAATAAGTACTGAGATCCCCTACGGATATATGCCATATATGTATCCTGGAAGACCAATGAAGAGGGAGGATTCAAGCCCAAAGAGTGGGAGAAGAGAAGCAGTGAAACAGCTGATCTTTAGGGTGCCTTCTATCCTTGCAAACCTGAGGCTCTGTTTGTGCTCTGGAAGGCTCAGGCATGAGCCATGATGTCCTGCTGGCTATGTGCTGAAAGAGCTGACTTGGTCAGCTGGACATTTGCTACACAGGAGGTTTTTGCAGAGTAGGACTGGCTAGGTCAAAAACAAAAAAATAGCTCTCAACTTCTAGCTCCTCCCACCTGTCTAATCCCAGAGCATCTAGCAAGTGAGACAAGAGGTAGAGAGTGGGGCTGGGCATGATGGCTCATGCCTGTATCCCAGCACTTTAGGAGGCTGAGGCAGGTGGATCACCTGAGGTCAGGAGTTCACAACTAGCCTGGCCAACATCATGAAACCCTGTCTCTACTAAAAATACAAAAAATTAGCCAGGCGTGGTGGCAGGCGCCTGTAATCCCAGCTACTAGGGAGACGAGGCAGGAGAATCACTTGAACCCAGGAGGCAGATGTTGCAGTGAGCCAAGATCGCACCATTGCACTCCAGCCTGGGCAATAAGAGCAAAACTCAGTCTCAAAAACAAACAAACAAACAAAGATGGAGAGTGAAAGAAAAAGCAGATCTTACCTACTCCTTTCCTACTTCAAGCCTGTGGGAGAACATGGGAGGAGAGGTTTTTAATTAGAGATATGATTAAAGATTTTATTTTGATTAAATAAAATTAATTTCAGACAGGCAATAGAACCAACAGTGCATAGTCCAACATCAGAGGTATGTTCATTAAAATGCAGAGGACAATCAGTAACAGTATTTCCATGAAGTAGACCTCATGCAGGCAGAGGGAATTCAGGTAGCTGGTGAGGAATAGAAATGCTTAAAAATGGTCTACATGTGCTTGCACTGAAACATATAACAAGGGACAAAGATTTGTGAAATGTGTCCAACAATGCTATATGAGACTTTTCCTGCCTCTACATTGTGAATAAGACAGTAAGATCTGGACACATCAAGAAATCCACCTCCAGCCTACAGCCTATATATAAGAGTGAGGACAACAAAGTTGTCAATCCATGGTATAGAGAAACGTGCTGTTGGCCAGGGGCAGTGGCTCACACCTATAGGCATGATTACAATCCCAGCACTTTGGAAGGCAGGCAGGTGGCTCACCTCAGGTCAAGAGTTTGAAACTAGCCTAGCCAATATGGTGAAACCCCATCTCTACTAAAAATACAAAAATTAGTTGGCGTGGTGGCGCATGACTGTAATCCCAGCTACTCAGGAGGCTGAGGCAGGAGAATCACTTGAACCCAGGAGGCGGAGGTTGCAGTGAGCCGAAGTCGCGCCACTGCACTCCAGCCTGGGCGACAAGAGTGAGACTCCATCTCAAAAAAAAAGAAAAGAAAAAGAAAAACATTCTGTTGCCTTCCCAAACCATGCAGGAGGAGTCACAAGAGAAGCAATGGTAGAGAATGGAAGCAGACAGTCCCTGCCAAAAAAAAGAACACCATCTCACCATCTTCTTACCTGCCTGCTTACTAAAAGGCAGAAGTGGTAGACCCAGCGAGAAAATCTGCGAGTACATTAGTTTTCTATTGCTGCCATTTAAAAAATTGCCACAAATTTAGTGGCTTAAAACAACACAAATGTATCATCTTATAGTCTGTAAAACAGAAATCTAGTAGGAATCTCAGGCTAAAATCAAGGTGTCAGCAAACTGAGCAGACTTCTAGAAGCTCTATGGAATAATCTGTCTCCTGATCAGTTAGGTTGTTGGCAAAATTCAATTACTTGCAGTTGTGGGATTGAGATACACGTTTTCTCTTTTTTTTTTTTTTTTTAAGACGGAGTCTCACTCTGTTGCCCAGGCTGGAGTGCAGTGGCGCAATCTTGGCTCATTGCAAACTTCACCTCCCAGGTTCAAGCGATTTTCCTGCCTCAGTCTCCCAAGTAGCTGAGATTACAGGCGCCCGCCACCTCGGCCGGCTAATTTTTGTATTTTTAGTTGAGACAGAGTTTCACCATGTTGGTCAGCTGGTCTCGAACTCCTGACCTCAAGGGATCCACCCGCCTAGGCCTCTCAAAGTGCTGGGATTACAGGCATGAGCCACCATGCCCAGCCGAGACACATGCTTTCTTGTTGGCTGTAGCTGAGGGCCATTATCAGCTCCTGGAGGTTATTCACTGACTTGGCCTGTGGCTGTTTCCTCCATCTTCAAGTCAGCAATGGCAAGCAACATTTTTCTCATGTCATATGTCTCTGCCCTTTTTCTGTAGTCACATCTCTCTCCCTGACTATAGCCACCTAAAAAGGTTCTCCACTTTTAAGGATTCCTGTGGTGAATTAATTAGACTGGGCCCACATGGATAACCCAGGATAATCTCTCCTACTCAAGGTCCATAACCTCAATCACATCTGCAAAGCTCGTTTTGCCAGGTAAGGTAACATATTCACAGGTTCCAGAGATTAGGGTGTGGACATCCGTGAGACACTCTTATTCTGCCTACCACAGAGGACTGACCTGTGTTCCCTGGAGTTTGGGAAGTACAGAGACGGGTGCCTGATTCTCCCCTAGAAAAGTCCAAGCGGGAGAGGCTGGCTGGCGCTGTCTGTAATGAAGAAGAGAGAGCATCACACTTTCAGAGCTTAGTGAGGCAAAATGCAGAGCAGATGCTGCAGAGACTCCACCCAAGAAGGCTGCTGACCAGCGTCCAGCCAGAAAGACGTGACGTGCTGTAAATTGCTGAAGTAGGGACGAGGGCATGTCATAAGAGGGCACCATATCAGGAAATTTTGCACTATCAGAGGTCTCCAATGGAGAGTCTCCAAAGAACCCACAAAAGCCCCTTATTGAAAAATTATCAGTATTTAGATGTTTGCTACACAGGAGGTTTTTGCAGACTAGGACTGGCTAGGTTAAAAAATATACCTATATATAGCTCTCAACTTCTAGCCCTTCCTACCTGGCTAACCCCAGAGCATCTAGCAAGTGAGACAAGAGGTAGAGAGTGGAAGAAAAAGGCAGATCTTACCTCCTCCTTTCCTACTTCAAGCTTCTGGGAGAATAAGGAAGGACAGGCTTTTAATTCGAGATGTGATTAAAGTTTTTATTCAGATCAGTCTGAAATTTATAATAGCTGAAACTATTCTGATCCCTAATGTCCAGAAAAACAAACGGCTCTGCCTGAGACACCATCCAAGATGCTGGAATGAAGTTTATTTGAGGATTTTATTTGAAGGCAATGGTGACAAAGAATACAATGGTTTCCTGCTGGAATAGTACCTGTGATGGTTAATTTTGTTTTTTGTTTGTTTGTTTTTTGAGACGGAGTTTTGCTCTTGTTGCCCAGGCTTGAATGCAATTGCGCAATCTCAGCTCACTGCAACCTCTGCCTCTCAGATTCAAGTGATTCTCCTGCCTCAGCCTCCTGAGTAGCTGGGATTACAGGCATGCACCACCATACCCGGCTAATTTTGTATTTTTAGGAGAAATGGGGTTTTATCATGTTGGCCAGGCTGGTCTCAAACTCCTGACCTCAGGTGTTCCACCCACCTCGTCCTCACAAAGTACTGGGATTACAGGCGTGAGTCACCACACTCAGCCAATGTGATGGTTAATTTTGTGTCAACACGACTGGGCCATGGATTGCCCAGATTAAACATTATTTTTGGTGTGTCTGTGAGAGTGTTTTGAGGTGAAATTAACATTTGAATTAGACTGGGTGCAGTGGCTCATGCCTATAATCCCAGAACTTTGGGAGGCCGAGGCAGGTGGATCACCTGATGTCAGGAATTTGATATCAGCCTGGCCAACATGGTGAAACCTTGTCTCTACTAAAATTACAAAAATTAGCCTGGTGTGGTGGTGCACACCTGTAATCCCAGCTACTTGGGAGGCTGAGGCAGGAGAATCAATTGAACCCGGGAGGAGGAAGTTGTAGTGAGCAGAGAGAGATTGTGCCACTGCACTCCAGCCTGGGTGACAGAGCAATACTCCATCTCAAAAAAACAAACAAAAAAAATATTTAAATTAGTAGGGTAGTAGGGTAGAAGAGCAGATTGCTTTGGTTGGGCCTCATCCAATCTGTTGAAGACCTTAAGATAGAATAAAAAGTCGAGAAAAAAATAATAATTAGTTCTCTGCCTGTCTTCAAGCTGCAAAGTCAGTCTTCTCCTGCCTTTGGACTTGGACTCAAACTAGAACTTACACTATCAGTGCTCCTGGTACTCAGGTCTTCGCACTTGGACTGGAAATACATTACCATCTCTTCTGGGTCTCCAGCTTGCTGACGGCAGATCCTGGGACTTCTCTGCCTCCATAATCATGTGAGCTAATTCTTTATAGTAAGTCTCTTTATAGAACTCCTTTTGGTCTGTTTCTCTGGAGAATGCAGACTAACACAGCATCCAAGGCCAGTACATTCAATATACTGATCACATTCGCAGTGGCTCATCTAGGACCCTTTAAGAACAAAGATATTCTATTCTCTATGAGCTCTACACTGTGCTTTGTTTTGCTTGATGTCAGACTCAAGCTAAAATTTTACAAGTGAGTTTAGTTCTAATTAGTAAAGAAAGGAGGAAAGCATCCCAGGAGAGAAGCTTAGACATAGAAAGAAGCAAAGGCATAGCAGATAGGAATGAATAAGGCAGTTGCAGGGAAAAGAGAACAGAGCTACTTGATTGACACAAAAGGTGGGTGTCCAGGAAGCAAGAGAAAGAAAGTTACCTAAGTAAGACGAACTCTCTAATGCTAGAAAAAAAAACTCTGGGCTTGTTGCAATGTATAATAGAGAACCATCAAAGTTTCTATAACTTACAGAGTTTCTGTAAGCATTGGCACATATAAGCATTTTGTTTTGTTTAAACAAAAATAAATGATAATATCTAATAGATAACATCTTCTAATAGAAGAGAGGAGTAAGGTTGAGAACACCAGCTAGGAATCTGCTACTGAATTCCTATGCCGACTCTACCTTCTGAACAGAACTTGGGAGCTGCAATCTGACAAGTAGGAATGTACATGAGTCAACATAACAGAATATTTGAATTGAGGACATCCCAGAAAATCTCTAGTTATTGTAAGTACACCAGACATGTGGCAATGAGGTGGAATGATTTCTTAACCCTTCCTTCTCTGTCATAACATGTTGTAAGATGAAATCTCTCCCAATCCTTCTGCAATTGGTCCATTTGGGGACAAGCAGGAAATTACTAAGCAATGGTTGCACCATTGTGAGATTTCATTCTTTCCTGGAGTTGTGTTTTATTTAGACTTCTATTTAAAACTAATTTATTTCAAGCAAAACAAAAACAAAAAATAACATTTTGAACAGGAATAAACTAGTTGGCTTAATTTCCTACAATGCACCAGGCTCCCTACTTCATTCTTACTGCACAGTCGGGTCTCCTGGTACCAGTCACACTGAAGGTATTAGTACCTCCCAGGAAGGGCAGTATAGTTCCTCTGTGGGAAGATATTTCTCTCTTTCACACACACACACACACACACACACTTAACAATACAACTATTGTATGTGGCAATACAATATTTCTCCTAATTTTCTCGAAGAAATATTCCAAGCTCTTGTCTCCCATCAATCCCCAACTCCTCACCTGAGAAAATCTGAAGTGCCCTCGGGGACTTGGGGATACAGGAGAATGACTGAGAGAAAACCCCCACGTGGTTGAAGGCACAGAAAGTGAGCAGCCCATGGGGGCTCCTGTCCCACAGACACCACGTTTCCTCACTCACCAGTCACATCCTGGCTCAGCACATCCTGCATCTAGGGACCCTCCCCTCTCCCCTGGCTCCAACCTTTCCTCACTTTTCACTCAGCTAATTTCACCTCCCAGAAGCTCTTCTTTGCAAGGACCTGCCTATCTGTGTTGCCTCTTCTCCCTTCCCATCCTCTCCCAGCCTCTGGGTGGCCGTCTCATTCCAGAAAATCCTTTTTGCTCAATCATTCTCTTCATGCCTTTTTTTTTTTTTTAGACAGAGTCTCGCTCAGTTGCCCAGGCCAAAGTGCAGTGGTGTGATCTCAGCTCACTGCAACCTCCGCCTCTAAGGTTCAAGCGATTCCCCGCCTCAGCCTCCGGAGTAGCTGGGACTACAAGTATGTGCCACCACACTCAGCTAATTTTTATATTTTTAGTAGACGTGGGGTTTTACCATGTTGGCCAGGCTTGTCTCAAACTCCTGACAGCAAGTGATCTGCCTGCCTTGGCCTCCCAAAGTGCTGGGATTACAGGCGTGAACCACCGTGCCCGGCCCCTCATGCCATTTTTGAACTGAGACCAAACTCACTACCTCCAATTAAAAGACCTTAATCCCGACCAATATGCTCAGCAAACAGTAAATGTGGCCATCTCCCTCCTCATTGTCTAAGTGCTTACTTTTCCTCAAGCATCAACATTCATCTATTTTTACACCCTTTTCTCAGTTTATGTTTCTATTCTTTACATGTATTCCTTTTGTAAAACTATCATTGGAAATGTTTCTAATTATTTCTAATGACAGTAAAACATTTCTGCTATATTATGGGCTTCAGTGGGCTGGTCTAGGAGTCTTAAACACCATTTTATAGCAGTTTCTACAAGAAAATGTATTTCAAATTCAAATAGCTGAGTTGTAAACTTCAAAAACACAAACCTTTTAAAATCAGAGAATGCTGATCAATAAGACATTCTGAGACCGTGAGACTTAAGGTAATTGCCTGTTACAAAATAAACAAGATGCATAATTACCTCTTTTAATGGATCTTCTTCTTTCATTCAACGAAGGCCTCCAACGGGTATCTAAACAGGAGTTGGAGCCAGCTGCTGTCTTTGCCATTGTGAAGAGAAAGCTTTAAAAATACACACAGGGACAAAGAAGAAACGAGACAAGGATGCTAAGGAAAGTGACTGTGCAAAGAATTTCAAATATGGGAAACAATAACTGACAGAACACAATGAACAGTGAAACAATTCTTGAGGATTTCTTTTTAATGGAAAGTTCATTGTTATGCAAATGCACATCCACATGTTATCGTTTTGTTTGTTTGTTTGAGACAGGGTCTCCCTCTGTCACCCAGGCTGGAGTGCAGTGGCGCAGTATCAGCTCATTGCCTCCCAGGCTCAAGCGATCCTTCCACTACAGCCTCCTGAGTAACTGGGACTACAGGCGCCCACCACCACACCCAGCTAATTTTTGTTTTTTGTTTTTTGTTTATTTTAATAGAGACAGGGTTTCGCCATGTTGCCTAAGCTGGTCTCAAACTCCTGAGCTCAAGTGATCCACCCACCTCGGCTTCCCAAAGTGCTGGGATGATAGGCGTGAGCCACCATGCCTGGCAACATTTTATCATCTTTCTTTTTTTTTTTTTTTTGGTAGAAAGAGCCTTACTCTGTCTCCCAGGCTGAAGTGCAGTGGCAGGCTCACTGCAGCCTCTGCCTTCCGGGTTCAAGTGATTCTCCTATCAGCTTCCCTAGTAGCTGGGATTACAGGCGTGCATTACCGTCCCCAACTAATTTTTGTAGTTTTAGTAGAAATGGGGTTTCACCATGTCGGCCAGGCTGGTTTCCAATTTCTGACCTCAAGTGATCTGCCGGCCTCAGCCTCCCAAAGTGCTAGGATTATAGCTGTGAGCCACCACGCCTGGCTTTATCATCTTTTTAAAGACATAGCCACATGAGGCCGGGCGCGGTGGCTCACGCCTGTAATCCCAGCACTTTGGGAGGCTGAGGAGGGTGGATCACGAGGTCAGAAGATCAAGACCATCCTGGCTAACATGGTGAAACCCCATCTCTACTAAAAATACAAAAAATTAGCCGGGCGTGGCAGCGGGCGCCTGTAGTCCCAGCTACTCGGGAGGCTGAGGCAGGAGAATGGCGTGAACCCAGGAGGCGGAGCTTGCAGTGAGCCGAGATCGGGCCACTGCACTCCAGCCTGGGTGACAGAGCCAGACTCCATCTCAAAAAAAAAAAAAAGAAAAAAAAAATATACAGTCATCCCGCTCTGCTAGCAAACATTAAACTTACTTCCTTTATCTTTCTGTATATTTGCACCCTTGAACTCACTTGTCTTCATCCTCTCCCCTCCTCCCCACTCTCCCTTCCCAGTCTCTGTTATCTGTTTTTCTACTTTCTACCTCCATGTGTTCAAATGTTTTAGCTCCTACATGTAGTGAGAATGTGCAATATTTGTCTTCTTGTGCCTGGCTTATTTCACTTAAGATAAGGTCCTCCATTTCCATCCATGGTGCCTCAAATAATTTAATTATTTCTTTTTTATGGTAGAATAGTATTTCATTTTGTATACATAGTACATTTTTATTTTTATTTTATTTATTTAGAAACAGAGTCTCGCTCCGTCGCCCAAGCTGGAGTGCAGTGGCACGATCTCAGCTCACTGCAACCTCCGCCTCCTGGGCTCAAGTGATTCTCCTGTCTCAGCCTCCTAGTGGCTGGGACTACAGGCACCCGCCACCACACTCAGCTAATTTTTTTCTTTTTAGTAGAGATGGGATTTCACCATGTTGGCCAGGCTGGTCTCCAACTCCTGACCTCAAGTGATGTACCCGCCTCAGCCTCCCAAAGTGCTGGGATTATAGGCATGAGCCACCACACCTGGCCCATACTACATTTTTTAATGTATTCATCTGTAGACAGACACTTAAGTTAATTTCATATCTTTGTTATTGTGAACAGTGCTGCAAATAAAAATGCAAGTACAATTTCATTGGCCGCTAGAGTCATATAGCAAAGTAGGAATGAAGTGAGATCTTTCCATGTGCCATGAAAGAGCAAAGCAGGAAATACTTAGTTTGCACAGAGCTGATAATTCTCACAGAAAACGACATTTATTCCAGTGGAAGACAGCCAAAGCTGACAATGCTAAAGAACTTGACTCTACCCTGGGTCTGAATGAGACCCCCTGAGATTAAGCAGAATGACAAACTGGTAAGAGCTGTAATTTTTTTGCACTTTAATTGATAAAAGAAATTTTAATTCTTGGACTTTGATTTCTTCCTGGGAATTTAGTAATGGGAAAGCTTCAAATGTTTATTGTTTTAAAGTGGGATGATTTTATTTTGCTGATGTTATATTACTTAAGGTGTTTTTATGTCATCATCTGGGCTCTGATATTCTACATCAGCTACCACAGCTAGGCATAAATTGAAATGTAAAACAGCATAGCGATTTACTTTCAGCCAAGAGTGCAGAACAGCCTTGTTGGTAATTTAATTCATGTTCCTTTTCCATCCCATTTCAGATCCTTCCATTAGCAGAAGATAAACCTCCTACCTGTGGTCACAGGAGAACACTCAGAGGAGCCATGGTTATATTAGGAATGTGTTCTTAGGAAGGCAGAAACGGGAACATCTGGAGAAACTGATGGTCTCCTCCACCGAGGGAAGTCGCCACACTGGACATGGAAAACCCTAAGGATGAATAAAGGAACAAAAAGTTGGGGAATAGCAAGGAAAGGCACTACTTACTCCCTTGGGTGAGTTGTACCAAGGTCTAGGCTTGGAGGGATGTTACTGAGAAGCCCAATGGCTGCCATAGGTCCAGGCTATAATCCCTAGTGGGGGTTTATCATTAATAAAGCTAATTTACAATCTCCATCTGCATGGAATAAACGCTGCATTTGCTTCTCAAATGATTTGAAAGTTGGAAGTCAGAGAAAAGCTGTAATTTAAACCACAACAGAGACCTTTAGGAAAACTTAAAGCAGGATACTTATTTCAAATATAATCTTAGAAACTCAAACTATAAAACAGATCAAAGTGGAGTTCTTTTAGTGAAAGGGGAGAACCGCGAGTTGTGGAATCCATCCACTCAGCATCCCCCTTGCCTCCTTTGGGGTCTCTTGAGTGCTCCTCTGAGCACAGCTTGAAAATCACTGCCTTAAGGAATCAGAACCACTGGCCACTTTCCATGACAAAGAGGCAGTCAGAAGAGCCTAACTCCTTCATTATCCCAGAAAAAAATACTTCCAACTTCTCCTTTCAGAGCATTACAAGAATGAGGACTCTCCATTTCCTCGCGGTCAATATTGCGCACTCTTTAAGTTCAATATGCAGAAGAATCACCTGGCATTCCTGTTTGCCATATAGATTCCTAGGCCCCACCTGCAGAGGTAATAGTCACTGTTTCTAGGGATGATTTTCTTTTTCTGTTTTTTCTTTTTTTGAGATGGTACCTCCCTCTGTCGCCCAGGCTGGAGGGCAGTGGCGCAATCTTGGCTCACTGAAACCTCCGCCACCTGGGATGAAGTGATTCTCCTGCCTCAGCCTCCCAAGTAGCTGGGGGTTCTGCAGGTTCAGGAGGAACCTGCACTTTCAAAAGCACTCAGGTAAATCTAGGTTTGTCATCCTGAGGACTACACCTTGAGAAATACAAGAGTCAAAAAGAAAACTAATGGAGAATATATTGAAAGTATCCAGTGGGCCTGGATTATGAAGAGACTTGAATGCCAAGCAAAGACATTCAGACTTTATTCCATGAACAGCAGAAAGCTACTGAAGTTATTTGAGCAATAGGGTAGTATCAGCAAAGGTGAACTTCAAGAAAGTCAACCTGGGCCCCGCACGGTGGCTTACGCCTGTAATCCCAGAACTTTGGGAGGCCAAGGAGGGTGGATCACTTGAGGTCAGGAGTTTGACATCATCCTAGCCAACATGGTGAAATCCCTCTCTACTAGAAATTTTAAAATTAGCCTGGTGTGGTGGCGGGCACCTGTAATCCCAGCTACTCGGGAGGCTAAGGCAGGAGAATCACTTGAGCCCGGGAGGTGGAGGTTGCAGGGAGCCGAGATCGCCCCACTGCACTCCAGCCTGGGTGACAGAGGGAGATTCCATCCCCACCTCCACCCCCAAAAAAAAGAAAGAAAAGAAAAAAGAAAGTCAATCTGAAAGTAGGATGTGAAAATAATAGGAGAAGGAAAAATAAGGTAAGAGGCTGTCGTGTGGGTCTGAGAAAGAAATGAGGAGTTTCCAGATTTGGACAGTGAAGGTGAAAATCAAAAGAAGAGAATAGGTTATAGTCTTTCTTCTATGGAACTGTAAGAAATAAATTTCTGTTGTTGAAGCCACCCAACCTATGGTATTTTCTTATAGCAGCCTGAGCTTACTAAGATAGTCTGCAAAGAATCAATATGATTTGGCAGAGGTTGGAACTGAATATTAAGAGGAAAGATAGATTCAAATATGAGGCCAGGGTTTCTTATCCAAACAGAAGGCGAGATGGTTGTTCCTTTAACAGAAATGGGAAGGAAAGAGATTGGACTTTGGGACTGTATTGGGCATGCCAGCCATTGTGCTGCTCAGCCGCTGGCCCTGCTGAAGTAGTAAGGGCAGTTCTCAGGAGCCACATAATCCCTCCAACCACAACTGGTTAAGCAAGTGTGGACCCCTGACCTAAAGGCAACCAACCTATAGATTGACCAGAAACCTCGGCATTTCCCTAGTTCAAAAACATAGCACAGCCAATCAGATTACCTGTCTCAGGAACTTGAGGGGAATAAAAGCAAGGAAATGAAGCTGTCAAGTGTAGATAACCCTGAAAAGATATTGAGAAGGATCATGGGCTGAGTGCAGTGGCTCACGTCTGTATTCCCAGCACTTTGGGAGGCTGAGGTGGGAGGATACTTGAAATCAGGAGTTCAAGACCAGCCTGGTCAACATGGTAAAACCCTGTCTACTACAAAAAAAAAAAAAAAAAAAAATTAGCCAGGCGTAGCAGTGCATGACTGTAGTCCCAGCTACTCAGGACTCAGGAGTCTGAGGCAAGAGAATCACTTGAACTTAGGAGGTGGAGGTTGGAGTGAGCCAAGATCCTACCACTGCACTCCAGCCTGGGTGACAGATTGAAACTCCATCTCCAAAAAAAAAAAAAGGGTCATGAACTTAAGAACCATAAGCATAAGTAAAATGAAGATGCAGAAACTGTGAGAGAAAGGGAAGACCTAAGCTAGCAGCTAAGACATGAGGAAGCAGACGTGCAGAAAGTGAGTCTCACCAACAGCACTAGAGTAGAACTGAGGTCCCATAACTGGGTGTTTTGGGATTCCCTCCTTACCTGGCACATAGTAAGCACTCAAGAAGCAGGTACTTTTAGAATTTAAAATAGAGGCCATTTGAGTCCTGCTCCATTCCCCAGTTCCTGCTCTTCTTAAATGCTTGATGTCCACTTTCACCAGGTTCCCAGGCACATTCATTTCACAACATACCGCCTCATTGCTTGGCAACTTGAATGAAAATTTGGTCATAGTCAAGCAAGTGTGTAAGGCAAGGACATACGGTATGTAGGGAACTTTCAGAAAATCAAGGTATAGAAGAAAAGACTGCTGGAAACAGAACTGGAGCTCAGGAGAGAGTCAAGGCAAAATGTTGATTTGAAGGTCATGTCCACAAAGCATTAAGTAAGGGCCAGATAATGACAAAGCAGATCACATATATCGCAACAAGAAGAAAGACAAGCATAAATCCTGAAGAAACTCTTCACTTAGAGGGTGGGAAGAGAAAGGAGGCAAAAGAGACAGAATCCATCTTTGTGAAGGCCTCAGTCTATTTTTGCACCAGGTTTATCCATGATGATTTGCATTGATTATATGAACAGAGCTGCTTTTATCCTATACGACTCAGTGGTTAATGGGAGACCCGCTTTCCCTGGTTTCATATTTTCACATAAAGGAAGTTGGTTGGGAATTGCTCTCAGAATCAACACCTGTGGGATAATGGAAGGAAGCAGGATTACAGTGTCTTAGTCTGCTCACTCAAGTTGTCATAACAAAGAACCGTAGTGGCTTAAACAGCAAACATTTATTTCTCACAGTTCTAGAGACTAGGAAGTCCATAACCAAGTCAGTTCCTGATGAGGGTCCCCTTCCTGGATTGCAGAGGCCAGCTTCTCACTAGATCCTCACATGGCAGAGAAAGAATATCGCTCTCAGGCCAGGCACGGTGGCTCATGCCTGTGATCCCAGTACTTTGGGAGGCCAGAGAGGACAGATCACCTGAGATCAGGAGTTTGAGACCAGCCTGGCCAACACAGTAAAACACTGTCTCTACCTAAAATACAAAAAGAAAACAGGCATGGTGGCGCATGCCTGTAATCCCAGCTACTCAGGAGGCTGAGGTGGGAAAATCACTTGGATCCAGGAGGCAGAGGTTGCAGTGAGCTGAGATGGCACCATTGCACTCCAGCCTGGGCAACAGAGTGAGACTCCATCTCAAAAACAAAAAAAAGAAAGAAAAGAATATTACTCTCTCCTTCTCTTTTTATAAAGACACTATTCCCATCATTAGGGGCCCACCCTCACAACCCCATCTAAACCTAATTACCTCCTCAAAGACCCCCACTTCCCAATACCATCACATTAGGGGTTAGGACTTCCATCAGTGAAATTTGGGAGGACACAATTCAACCCATAGCACAGAGGAAGAGGGGAGGCTGCAATGCAAACACAGCAAAGCTTCACAGGACTGCCAGATTTAGCAAATAAATATACAGGATGCTCACTTAAATCTGTAAGGTGGGGCAAAGTAGTTCATGCCTATAATCCCAGCACTTTGGGAGGCGGAGGTGAGCAGATAACTTGAGCCCAGGAGTTTGAGACCAGCCTGGGCAACATGATAAAACTCCATCTCTACAAAAAATTAGCCACGCATGGTGGCGTGCACCTGTTGTCCCAGCTTCACAGGAGGCTGAGGTGGGAGGATCATTTGAGCCCTGGGAGGTCAAGGCTGCAGTGAGCTGTGATTGTGCCACTGTACTCCAGCCTGAGTGACAGAGTGAGACCTTGTCTCAAAAAAAAAAAAAAAAAAAGACCGGGCGCAGTGGCTCATGCCTGTAATCCCAGCACTTTGGGAGGCCGAGGTTGGCAGATCACGAGGTCAGGAGATCGAGACCATCCTGGCCAACATGGTGAAACCTCGTCTCTACTAAAAATACAAAAATTAGCTGGGTGTGGTGGCACATGCCTGTAATCCCAGCAACTCGAGAGGCTGATGCATGAGAATCGCTTGAACCCAGGGGCAGAGGTTGCAGTGAGCTGAAATAGTGCCACTGCACTCCAACCTGGAGACAAAGTGAGACTCTGTCTAAAAAAAAAAAAAGAATGTTAGATAAACAGCAAAAATAATAATAAATGTCCCATGCAATATTTAGAATCTATAAATACCAAAACAATTATTTGTAGTTTACCTGAAATTCAAATGTAACTGAGCATCCTGTATTTATTTTATCTGGAAACCCTAAGGCCTCAGCCACCCCACAGGGCACTCTGAAGCTGGGCTAGTTCTTTTTTTTGTTTTTTGTTTGTTTTTTTTTTGAGATGGAGTCTTGCTCTGTCGCCCAGGCTGGAGTACAGTGGTGTGATCTCGGCTCACTGCAAGCTCCGCCTCCCGGGTTCATGTCATTCTCCTGCCTCAGTCCCCCAAGTAGCTGGGACTACAGGCGCCCGCCACCATGCCCGGCTAACTTTTTTGTATTTTTTAGTAGAGACAGGTTTTCACTGTGTTAGCCAGGATGGTCTCGATCTCCTGACCTCGTGATCCACCCGCCTCGGCCTCCCAAAGTGCTGGGATTACAGGTGTGAGCCATCGCACCCAGCCAAGCTGGGCTAGTTCTTTTAGCCTATCCTGAGTTAGGTAAGGGCACAGAATCTTTAAGTATGAATATCGTAAATTATGTAAATAAGTAT